AATTCGGTTGCACTAGAGAGAGATGGTCGTCCTCGCCTGGCACGATGTCGCTGCCGGGCGTTTCGCCGTCTGTAGGCACTGCAGAGCGTCGGATCGCACCATAGACTGACCTAATGAAGAAGATGCCGCTGGCACTGCCCACGAAACCCGTGAACTTGTCACCAGGGACGCTTCGCATCAAGCCCACCTCCCGAGCAGGTTGTTCTGATGTTCGCCGTCGCTTTGCAGGCGGCTGTTCGTCCACGAAATCCTCGGATGGCGCGTCTCCATCTTGACCACGTTCCATAACCGCGATCACGCTCGGTGATGTCAGAAAGCGATATAGTGCTATATCCGATGGTTGTTGCTGCTGACCTAATGAGGTTGGTGAAAGCGCTGGATCTGTAACATCGAGACGGAATGACGGAGGGAATCAGGCGCGCGAGCTGTCTAATACTGCGTATTTAATCACCTGTGAAGCGCATTCGGCGACACGCACAGCGATGAAAATGCCATTGGTGGGCGGAAACGACGCGAGAGTGCAGTGGCAGCGGCATCGACGGCGACCGTGCAAACCTCGGCGAGCTCCGCAGCTGACTTGGCGTGCCTGACGCGTGCGCGCCCTCACCCGTTCCATCACAACATCATCCATGGCACTACCCAAATAATGTCATCGGCAACCCTTGATGCCGCTGCCGGGCGTCCGCTACCCACCAGGGTCAGCAAGGCGTGTGAGAGGTGTCGTCGCAACAAGAGCCGAGTCAGTCACGCCCTCCCACCGCCTGTCACGCGCGCCGCCGACTGAGTATCCAAGTGCGACACATCGCGCCCTTGCGCGCTCTGCATTCGAGCAAACGTCGAATGCATTGTAAGCAATGTCGAAGTTTCACGCGCACCGAAGAGGAGACGCACCCAAGGCCCCTCCAGCGAAGCTTCACATGAGCAACCACAGGCACCGGTTGAGCATCATGACACGCATCAAGCGACAGACCCGGAGAACAACAGTCGCGATGAGAGTAGACGTGCCAGTATCGCGGAAGGTGAAGCCAACTCAGCCATGGATATTGCGCACCAGATCTACCGACTGGGAAGTCAGCCAACATTGAGCCGGACAACATCAGCTATACCGGGCGGCAATGTCTATGGCAGAGCCCCAACATCTCGCTTAGATCGTACTCAGAGACGCCCTATAGCGATAGTCCTTGGTCATCTTCTGCCACCAATCCACATGATGCGAGTACTTTTAGAAGAGTACTTCGACTCGGTGCATTGGTTTAGCTTGGTCATCTATGAGCCAAGATTCCGGCCAAAACTCGACTCTATGAAGGATGGCCTCGCTTATCCGTCGCAGAAGTCATTCCTCCTCCTCCTGTCCACAGTTGTGGGAATGGGAGCATGGTACAAGTCTCACAGGAAGGACGTGGATCCGGATTTTCCAGACGAGGATTGGCACGCCTGGTCGCAGTCCCTCGTTCAAGGCGCGGGTTCCCAATTGGCTGAACTGATGGACCAGAGTACCATCTCGTCTGTTCAGACGTGTATCTTGCTCGGCTCCTACTATGTTTACCATGGGAAGCCTAATCTATCATTTGCGTTACTAGGCGCAACCATTCGAACGGCACAAGCCATCGGCCTCCACCGCCAGCCGCTACGAGGCGACCCTCACTATGTCGAGGAGAGGAAAAGAGTCTGGTGGACTATCTACACGTGGGACCGGTAATGCGCCCCTCCCTGAAGATACGAAGGACCTCAGTACAGAGTCTGAGCCTCCTCGTATACTGTAGCATCATTAGCTAACTTGACCAGGTTTGCTTCCATCACGTACGGACGACCCATCGGCATCAACGAGAAGGACTGCAATACACACCACCCGATCGACGTATGCGAGTCGCCCTACTTCAGAGGGACGAACCCCCCAGAAGCCGACTTAACAATATGTTACTCGTCCTACCAACGAGAGCTCAACAAACTCTACCTTATCGCGTCACCCATCATCGAGACCATCTTCGGGATGCGGGCGGTGGGACCCAACGAACGGCCGAGCGGACCACAATACACAGATCAGATCACGGACGTGACGGAAAAGCTTTGGGCGTGGCGCCGACGTCTGCCGCCTCATCTTCTACTAGACATGGCTGCTGACTGCAGTATGGATCAATCCCGCACCGCACGGGTACACCAGCTGCAAGCGTTGTCCCTCCAGCTTACATTCGACAACCTTCTCATCATCTTCAATCGCCCGTTAATCGCAAAACAAGTGGACCACCTCATCAGGACGCAACCGGAAAGCGGGCATGGCAACGCACTATCCCCGGCAAGTCTTACGAACACCGAATCTCCATTTCATGCGGTTCATGGGTCCAGCCCGCTCAACAGAAGCCATATGTCGAGCACGGAGCAATGGTGGGATGCCGCGTTGAGAACATCGAAGGTGACCGAACTACCACGGCTTTCTCAGCTAGCCACTGATAGTCACCTGGTAGCTTTCTTGGCTATCAATCTGTTCAACTCTGCCATCGTCATGGCTGTGTTGGCGCTGTCTGATCCACTCTCGGACAGAGCACAGGAAGTGAAAAGGACCATCACACGCATCTTTCGCTTGCAAGAGCTACTCGGCAAAAAGACACAGCTCTCGATGCAGAGTAATGCGGTCCTCAAAGACGTCATCCAGATGCTGCTGCGCAGAGAAGCAGATGCCATCTTTGGCGAGAGCGATGTGACAAGATCGCACACCGGGACGGCGCAGATGTCTGTCGAAGACACCCTTCGTCTGCCGACGCAACTGCCATCGAGTGGACACAACAGACAGCAACAGAGTACAGTAGACAGCATGCAGCGCGTTCACGAGAGCATGGCATCAGTGCAGAGAGGTAAGACTGATGCATTCCCGAAGCTGCGTACCAATCTAATCACCTACCTCTCACAGTGTTTCCCGCCGCCCTCGACAACGTCTCCCGTGACGACACAGCTTATGTCCCGCAATGGGGCACGAACGACGGTGGCATGAATCACCTGCCTAGCGAACACAATGACTGGACAAATGCTAGCGCCGGAGACTTCAACCTCGAAGGCGAGCTGGACTGGATCAGCGATGAAAATGGTGTTGATGTTACTGGCAACGGCCTATACTGGTTCTGGGATTCTGTCTGGAACGAGCCACAATTCTAGCTGTCGCATCACAACCATCCTTTGGTGGGCACGCGTCTCAATTCGAGCAATCTCATTATTGCGATATGTGTTCAGCGCATCATACACTAGAGCCTCGGGAGATCAGACACACGCCTGTGCTGCTCGGTGCGACCCTCTGCGAACGCCCTATCGATGCCTGGTCCATATATGAGCGACTTGATGCCGACTCTATCCGCAACATTCTGAAAAGCCTGTTCCGCATCTGAGAACGCGAATTCATGAGTAATAAGACTATCTAGTTGAACACGATTGGACTCTAGTAGCTGGATGGCAAGCTTGTAGTCTCCTGGCCCGTATCGAAAGCTTCCTTTGAGCGTAGCTTCTTTGTCGCAAATCTGGCCGATTGGAAATGCGATCTTGGGAGAGCCCAGCCCAGCTTGAACGAAGACTCCACCGCGTTTCAATGCAGCTACACCACAGTTGATGCATGGCTCTGCTCCTGTTGCATCAATCACAACATCGAACCCTGTAGCCAGCCCAGCCTTCTCCCAAACTTTCTGAGCGTTCGTTTCTGGAAACCCAGCTTCCATCATGTATACGTCATCGGCACCGAAGTCGGTCGCAAAGCTCAGCCTGGGGGCCACTGCGTCAATAACCACGACATTCCCAGCGCCGAAAGCCTGTGCCACAGCGCAACACAACAAGCCTATGGGCCCGGCCCCGAAGACCGCCACAGACTTGCCCTGAAGATTTCCGGCCAGTCCGCAACAATGCACAGCTATGCTTAGCGGCTCCACGAGGGCACCTTCACGGAAGGATATGTGTGACGGCAGCTTGTAGCAGCATTCTTCGGGTAGACAGTAGAAGGTCGACAACGTGCCATTGTAGGGAGGGGTGGCAGCAAACTGCATCGACTCGCACAGGTTGTATCGGCCGCTGCGACATGTCTCGCAGGTGTTGCATCCTACGCCAGGTTCCAATGCGACGCGGTCACCCACCGACAGCCCTGTGACGGATGATCCACAAGCATCGACGATACCAGCAGATTCATGGCCGAGAGTGATCGGGTTCTCGACCACATATCTTCCGATTTGCCCATGTTGCCAGTAATGTACCTAGATCGCCGTCAACGTTGATGAACACACTACAGACCACAGCGGGCGATACGTACGTCAGAACCACAAAGACCGGTAGCCACAATCCTCACGCGAATGTGCCTGGGAGTTGGAAGACTTGGAACTGGACCATGCTCGTATGAGAATACCCTGGATGGGCTCAGGACGAAGGACGTGTTGATCGGTGCTTTGCATTGGTCCTCTGACAGCGTCAAAGACCCGGAGGAGTTATTCGCTTCGCGAACATCAGCTGGAGAAAACATTACTGCGAAACACATGGTACGGCAATGATTAGAGTTGGTGTGTCCATCTTGATGCTCTGACTATATTACCGGCCAGGTGTTCTTGCCCGAGTGCGAGAGCGAGAGCAGCACGGTTCCGGCGGCTCATGCAGGCTGCTGACCTTCCGATGCTCACGAGTCGGAGCCGCCAGCCCGGAATTTTCTGCCCCAGCACCGGTTCCGCGGCTTTCGAGAAGAGCGCTTCTGATTGGCTGGCAAAGCATCCCTTAGCGCTACAGCGTTGATCAACTTCTCGAGAAACACACTAGCATATGCCGACCAAATTTCGTCGCTGCAGGGCCAACGTTAGGACCGGAACCGTAACATGACCTGACTACACGCGATGATGCCGAATGCGCTCCACTGCGGAGATCTGGGGACGATAAAGCTGCCAGGCTTCCCCAGATTTCTCCATCATCCCACCGCATCTCCTTCCGTGTGATCCATAGCACGCACTACTTCTCTACTCTTATCTTGCTCTACACTGGCTGAGAATATGGCTGCCCGCAGTAACTCAGTCGCCAGTCAGAGCGCCAACATTCAGCAGCGTGCCTCGCAAATAGCTGGACAGGTCGCTGCTGAGCAGGGATGGCTTGAAAGCAAGCTAAAGCCGAAGAAGATCACGGCCAGGTACCCTATCAAGGGCAAGACCTTGTTGTTTGCAACATGTGGCTTTGGCAGTCTTGGTGATGCCTTGTTTGGTTACAACTCAGGTGTGTTCGGGTACTTGCATGTTGATCAACAATACTGATTCCGCTAGGTATCATGTCTGGCCTACTGGTTAATCCAGTATTCGTCAGGCGTTTCTTCAGCGACTACGGTGGCGCAGATGGTAGCACAGCAGCTGTGAATCCCTCCATCACAGGAATATCTGTTGCTTGCCTACAAGCCTCCGCCGCTGTCGGTGCTCTCATCGCCGGGCGTCTCGGAGACATGATCGGTCGCAAACGCACTGTCCGTCTCGGTGGTCTGATATACTTCCTCTCAGCTTTCATCCAGATTTTCGCTCCAGGTTTCGCAACTTTCGTCGTCGGACGTACGATCCAGGGCTTCGGAGTCGGCTTCCTGTCCATGACAGTTCCTATCATCCAAACCGAGATTGCAGCACCCCATGCTCGAGGCCTCATGGTCGGCATCGAATACACATGCCTGATCGCAGGATATATGTTGTCCTGCTGGGTTGACTATGGCTTCCACTTCATGCTTCCAGACGCGCTATCTTGGCAGGGGCCATTCATCATCCAGATCATCCTCTCGTTCATCTTGGTGGTCATGTCATTCTTCCTCCCGGAAACTCCAAGATGGCTAGCAAACAACGGGTTCATGCAAGAAAGCCTTCAAACAGTCGCAGACCTGCACTCCAGCGGCGATACCGACGCCCCGCACGTGCAAAAGGTGTTTCTCGAAATCCAGGAGGCCGTCGTCTACGAAGCTGAGCTCGGCAAAGCTGGATGGATGGAAATGTTCACCCGCTACCGCAAACGCACAATCGTCGGCGTCACAGTGCAAATGTTCGCTCAACTCAACGGCATAAACATCATCTCCTTCTACCTTCCCTCCACCCTCTCCAGCGCCGGCTTCTCGGACGAGAAATCCCTTCTCTACACCGCCGCGAACGCACTCCCTTACACCGCAGCCACTGTCGCAACCTGGTGGCTAGCCGATCGCTGGGGCCGCAAGCCGCTTCTCATCCTTGGCGGTGTCCTCATGGCCGCTCTTCTCGGCATCGTGTGCGCCTTCACAGAAGCTTCCATGCCCATTATGACCCGCGCAAACGGACAATTCGCTTTCATCATGCTCTACAACATCGTCTACGGTTTCACCTGGGGTCCAATGCCATGGTTGTTACCTGCGGAGATCTTCCCGCTGCGCAGCCGCAGTAAGGGCATGGCGCTTGCGACGACGTCAAACTGGGTCTTCAACTTCATCATCGGCATGGTTTCGCCGGACGCTTTTGCAGGTATTGGTGGGTACTTTTACCTTGTCATCGCAGGGTTCTGTCTCTTCTCCGCAGGCCTGGCGCACTTCTACTATGTTGAGACGGCGAATCATTCGCTTGAGGAGATCGCGATTGCATTCGGAGATAGGGCTTTTGCTGATGGGGATGGTGAGGTTATGGAGAGTGTCAAGGCTCATGATGAGAAGACGCATAATGACAAGGTCTGAGGGGCTGTGGGTTTCGAACAAATATATAGTTCAAGCCAGTTTGGCGATGTATTTCTCTAAGCTCAACCCGAGATTCACAACAAACTGCCACTGCGTGTTACCGCGAAAGAACCTTGACCAAATATTCAGCACAGCCAGACCAAGCGCAAACGGCTCGCTGGGTACAGTCAAGAAACCATCAGTCTCTTCAGCATCCTCAAAGTCAATCACCGCATACGCTTCCTTGATGATACATCTCACCCAGTGAAGGATTCGATGCTCAGATCGCGACAGCGACTCTTCGCGGAATGGACGAGGAATAGAGCACAGCCATTTACCAAGGAAGATGGCACACTCGAAGCTTGAGATGGCATGCTGAACGCTCCAGAAGAATGCTTGGCTGCGCGCGACCCTGTCGATACCCAATCTGACGGGTATACTGAGCGCGTGTGTAGAGTACAACAGGGCTGATAGTATGTTGTCGTTGCGCTCAATGTCTGGGAGGTTTGCTAGGCCGTTAGCTATGATGTCGGTGTCGCGCGACTCCAGATGGCGGTATGGTCCTATATCGAGAGAAAGCCGCACGTAAGCTACCACCAACAGAGCGCTTGATGTGAATGGGATAGGGCCGCTCTCGTTGTTGGGGTCAAGCATTGATTCCGGGGTTTGTTGCCAGAGAGAGGTCCATGCGCGGAGTGCGCGACCAATGACTTGTAGCTCTGCAGCTGATATTGTTGCCGGTGATGTGGCGGGGAAGGAGAGCTCCCTGACTACATGGATCCGCTGAAGCAGTGCATGGAGAAGGATGTAGTTGCCGATTGGGCTCGGAATAGGATGGACTAGTTCTGAAGTATGTTAATTCACATTCGATAGCTCTTCCGATAGTAGCTTACCCTCATTTGTCGTTCCCTGCAAAAGTATCGACAACGCTTGCTGAAAGGGCATGTGATCCTCGCGTCCGTCGCGTTGTAGCGCAGCCCATTGTGCGGCACTACTAGCCTGCCAATCCGGTGTACAGCAAGGGAGTCGCAGATGAAGTTCGCTGCTCCAAAGCAGAGGATGGATGTTGTATGCGATACTATGCACGTTGATGTAACAAAACGCCACGAGCTTTGTACGTCTGGATGACTCGCGCTGTACCCAATTATCCCACATTGCTGCTCTAGAGGTTGATATATTCCTGGGCGGCTCCTCTTCTTTGAGACCAATATCTCGAAGTGACTGCACTAGAAGGCCTCGAAGTGCGAACGCTTGCTGAAGTAGGTCTTTCCTTTCCCATGTCGCAAACCCTACCAGGATCAGTAGGGTCTTCGCCATGTCCAAAGGCGACCACGGTCCTGTGCGTCTGCTAATGAAATGCGCTTCTGGCGAGCATATGTTCGTAGAAGCGATGAAGGAAAGAGTTTGTGGCCCGAAATGCGACTCTTCCTGTCGTAGGCGTTCGAATACAATGGCTTTCGAGACACGAAAGAGACGTTCGGAGCTTCTTCGCTCGAAGCAGTACTGCGCTCCAGCAGCGCACATGGCCAGTGTCAGCTCCAGAGGCGAACATGACGGTTTGTAAGTTGGCGCATGTATGAACGGGAAGTGCGAATGAAAGCCACCAAAGAACGCGGTAATATACCTGGTAAGGGTATGTCGGGAAGGGATCTGGAAGTCGGCGATGGGAGGAGCAAAGCTCTCGAGCAGCGATACCAGGAAGTTGCGGTGCTCATCCGTTACATTGTATGTCCCGTTCCTCGTTCTCTTTTCGCCATCCTGCGTATTGGACCGCAAATGGACCTCATCGTCAGCTGGAGCTGATGGTAACCACGTGCTGAAAGGTGTGCCAATATCCTCTGCACCTGGGGAGGAAGGCTGATTTTCTGGTTCTCGGGAGTGCCGCCGAGATTCCTGACGAGGTTCTCCTAGTCGCATCCAGTCAAAGTCGTACTCAGGCGTCCATTGGGCGGATAGTCCAACACCATCGATGAAGTTTACAAAGTCACGGAAATCTTCAAACCCTTCGTCGCGATATGGCGGCGCCGGCTGGAGTTCTTGATAGGTGGGAGGTGGATGTTGCAAATCAAGCTGGCTCGTGTGAACCTGCGGGACGAGGTGCGCTTCGACGGCCCCAGCGCTGGGGACGTTCAAAGCGGGTGCGTCTATTGTCGTTGCAGTTTCAGTCGACGTGGTCGACTCTGCATCAGGGTTGCCAGCATGGTGCGTGATGCGCCAATGTCTAGTAAGCAGGTCACGGCGTGTAAACGCTTGTCCGCATCGACACGAGTACGGCTTTTCTCTGGTATCTATGCTGACATCAGTTCTGACGACGCCTTCATCGTGGAGTCACTTAGTTGAAGGCACGAACGTGTACGAGTATGGCGAATCAGATGCTCTGCTCGCTTGAAGCTTCTGGAGCAATGGGTACAAACGTGAGCGAGTCCGTGCATGTGGTGTGAGAATTGTTGGAGTTGGAGGTGAATTGGAGCGAGGTGGGTCTTGGTCTTTACTTCAAGGTTTTGCCCTCGGCCAATTATGTCTGCGGGGTAAATAGCGCCGTGGTTAGCGCAAGGCGTATCTTCGGAGTAGGTGGAACGCTTACTCCAAGATAGCGGAACTCGACGGGATGGCCGCCGAACGTCTCGCCGGCAGAACGTCGTGTCGGTACGCTATCCCTTAACCATTCTTGAGTGCATTCATGCGTGCATCAAATCAATCAGTGGGCGCGTATCTCGGTAGATCACGCTTTCACCGCCACATGATAGCAGTATGGCATCGCTTGCAAGATTGCTCCCAGGTGTAGCCGTCATCACAGGCGCTGGAGGAACTGGTAGGTGGTTATCTTATGCGACGTTGAATTGCCATGCTCATGATGATCAGGCATTGGTGCGGCCGTAGCTAAGGGTTTCGCCCGTTCAGGCTGTTCGCGAATCGCCATCACCGACATCAACCCGAAGACGCTCGAGCAGACCAGGGACTCTATCCTGAGCATCAACCCTTCCGCTCAGGTCTTCCAGCGAGCTGGCGACATCGCTGATGAGAAGTTTATCGACTCATTCAACGATGAGACTTTTTCCAAGTTCAAGAGGCTCGACTATGGAGTCAATTGCGCTGGCGTGCTCGGTGGCGATGTTATCAAAGCTGTAGAGATGACGACCGAACATTTCGATCGACTCAATGCTATCAACTATAAGGGGTCATGGCTTAGTTGCCGTGCGCAGCTTAGAAACATGTTGAAGCAGCAGCCTCTTGATCAGCATCCCAAGCAGAGAGGCTCTATTGTCAATATTGCTAGTCAGCTCGGCATTGTAGCGAGGCCGGGTGCTGGTACGTTGACCGTTTCGTAAAACGCGAAATATCTGCTAATGAGCATGTACAGCGGCATACTGCGCTTCAAAGGGTGCTATCATCAATATGACAAGAGCGAACGCTATCGACTACTCCGATGAGGACATACGCGTAAACTGCGTTTGTCCTGGTGTCATTGAGACACCCATGACTACCACATCGCCAGCTATGGTGGAAGCCTTGAAACCGGCTATTGAGATAGCGCCTATGAAGAGGATGGGCACACCGGAAGAAGTCGCTGATGCAGTGCTTTTCTTATGTTCGGCACAATCATCGTTCATCCAAGGGCATGCATTGGTTGTGGACGGTGGCTACACGATAAATTGATCAGAAAGATATCGCGATGACAAGACATATTGCTTGAAACAGCGAAGCCCATTTTCGGATATTTTTAATGACGACATATTCTACAGCTTCGTAGCATGCTTCGACTCTTGATCTTGTCGCACGCCGATTTGTTTCCAGTCGTTTGCCGACTCCCAGGCAAAAGCCGCATCTAGTATTTTTTGTTCCTGCCAAAGGCCACCGACCAACTGCATACCAACTGGCAAGCTGACCTCACAATCAACGCCCGAAGGAGCAAAACCTACGGGAAGTGACATGGCCGGATGCCCCGTTACATCGAAAATAGCGGTGTTGATGGTAATGCCCATACTTGGCTTCAGCGCGTCTATCGGCGCATCCTCCCCGCGCTTCCAGTCTATGTTGGGCGGTGCTACAAAAGGCGTTGTCGGCATAATGATAAGGTCGTACTCCTGAAACAGCTTCTCATACGCGTCGCGGAGCTGTTGGGCCACATTCATGGTTTTCGCGTAAAGGCCCGGGTAATTCTGCATCAGCGAGAGGCCGTTGATCATAGTATTCTTCGTAGATGGAAAGAGCTTTTGGAATGTTTCGTTCGTCCATGGTTGTCGCGCCGCTTCGTAGGCTGTTGAGAATAGTCCTCTCCGACCGTGCGCGTATCCCAACATGCTGAAGGTACCTGCGATCCGCTGTTGGATAGTCCAAATAGCTGGCCCTTCTAGGTGAAGGGGTAATGAGACCTCTTCGACGGTAGCACCCAGTTCTTCAAAGGACTGAACGGCTTTTCTCACGGTTGATTTGACGTCTTGGTTTACGAGACGGTGCTCGAAGCCTTCTTTAAGAACGCCAATCTTCATTCCTGCGACCGAGCTTTGAAGACGTTCTGCGTAATGCTTTGACCCATGAGTTGGTGCACCAAGTGTACGATCATCATAGTCATCTCTTCCGCCGATGGCATCGAGACATAAAGCTACGTCGCGAACTGATCTTGCTATGGGCCCAGCATGATCACTGACAGCGTCGCCACTGGATATACCAGTGTAGGGAACAAGGCCATGCGTTGGTTTTAGTCCAACACCTGGTGTATATCGTCAGCTTTGCACTACATCATGATGTGCTTCGTAATAGTCATGGTGTACTTACACCCACAGAATGACGATGGAACTCGAATACTGCCGCCTTGATCGGCACCAATTGCGATATCTACCAAACCGCCACCGACTACTGCACAGCCACCAGACGTACTGCCACCAGCGGAGTACCCTCTCGCATACGGGTTGTGAACGGTACCTTGCGCTGAAGTGAATGACGATGTGGAGTTGCAGAAGTTTTCGCATATGGTCGTACCCACAATGTCAGCACCAGCATCTAATGTGCGGATAACTACTGTGGCGTCGGAATCGGGTGTCCATGCAGGGATGGCATCTGTTCCGAAGAACTGCGGTACTCCGGCCACTGCGATGTTGTCTTTGAGACATACAGTCTTTCCTTGGAGGAGGTGTCCTTGTGGGTTACCACGTATTTGGAACTTATGAGCCCAAGCATTGCCGAAATCCTGCTCTTCTGCTGATGGTCGGTGAATTCGTCCTCGCGGATATCTTTCGGTATCGGTAGGTGCTGTATAGTCGGGAAGTTGGAGTACGTGTTCTGCCACATCGTGGACCGCCGCTAGCAATTGGTGGTAGTCCCGAGACTCGTGTGCTGGTATGCCATTACTGATGCCAATGCTTTGTAGTACTGATTCTGCGTCCCCAACCCGTACAAGATCCTCACTGTAATACCGTCAATATGCGCACACTCCATTTGAACAGTAAAGTATTTGGTACTGACCTTAGAGGCGAGTCGAAAAAGACAGACATGATGGTTACGTAGGTGCGGCTGTGTGAGTTGGATACTACGATAGCTAAAGTCAATATAAGAATTTGCTGAACGGTATACTCTGCCGCAAGACTTTGACCATATTCAGGTAGATGGGATGTCCTTACGTACCGTTTGACCAATGGTGAGCAAGTGGGTCGACGGTCCCACAAAACAAACTAAGAGATCACGCCTGAGGCTCTCCAAATGACCCCAACTCGTGGCGAACTCGATTCGATAACGTACCAGAAAGTACCCAGAACCTCGCGTTTTTGAGGGTCTGCATTGCTAAGTTTCATAATGTCAGACCAAAGTCCAAAAGACACGTAAAAGACACGTAAGATTCCAAGTCTGCTCGTAAAAACAAGCTCATTCCCGGCCGAACGGAGGCTTATCCTTTCATCTTGATTACTAGTCGGCCTTTCATAGATGCATGCTGGTATCTTTCTATGAGG